TCCGTACTCGTAATAAATAGCTGACCATTTTTCCACTTTTTTTTTTCCTCTTCCTTTTCCTCTTTCATTTCAAATTAACAATTTCACCAATTCTATCTATGGTAGGGCTTCACTTTTCTATCCTCTATCGATTCATATTACTGATTTAATTAGCCTGAGAGCCAAGATACTTGCTATCGTGATTGCCAAGATCCCGCCGCACAGACACTGTCTCGCTACCCCCTGATGTCTTGGATCTACCTGGTGTACATTAATAGCTTTAGTCAATCCTAGTCCTCTCGCATGGAATTTAACACGACACCCAGCGAAGACGGATGATAAGTCAAATTATTTTCATGGATCACTCAGTTCACAACCATCGATGACTTCTGTTACTAAGAGCACTGCTGAACATGAGGAGTGGCTCAAAAATAATGATGATGATGGAAAGCTCAGCAGGAACGTTACTCCGGGGTTTTTCTCCATTGGTCGCCCTACCTCTTCCTATTTTACTCCCAAGCTGGCGCCTGAAGACCACTCAACTGAACCTGACCTAAGCGGGGCGCTCCGCGTCGACGTGGGGCCACACAACCACAAATCTGCCGGCGTCCCCATTGGATTTCCACCTGCATACCCTGTACACTCTCCAATTCTTCGCCCTGCTTGCTGTCCACACAACCATCACCCGGTGACTAAAGCTAACGACGCAATTGGTAACCACCAGGAACTAGCCACCTCTCTGCCCCCTATCTCTCTGCCTCCTACCCTCAATGTAAGTCTCCTTACTTTTGCCCCTACATCCCCACTAAAAAAAACACCAAAACCGCTGACAACACTGCCATGCTCAAGAACATGGGACCCTTCCTTCATCCTTCACATAGACCCACAGAACGCGACGTGTTGGCGGCTCTCATCCAACATAACGTCATAGCCGCAAGAGAGATTATCGACCAGTACAACACCACCACCGCCACCAATGCCTCCACTTCGACTGCTCCTACAGCTACCTAAACTGTGAATACCTCTATTGCAGGTGTTGCAAAAGCTAGTGTTCCCCCTACTGATAATGCAAAGGGAAAGGAAGTCCAAGCCATTGTTTCCCCGACTCCTACCTCGGTCTCCGAAACTCCCATTATGGCATCCGCCCCTGAGCGTCCTCCCAAGCGTAAGAAATATACAAGCCCTCTCTTCAACGTTCGTAAGAAATCCACTCTCTCTGGCTTGAGGATTCAATTGCACTTTTTCAACAAGATTCTCGATGCCATTGAGAGAAATATTGACAAAGTCATCATTTATCAACCGACTCCGACGCTCCTCGAACGTCTTAAGCAGCTCAAGCACATTCACCATGGCATAATTCTCAGCCTCGGTACGGCTGCCATCTTAGAGGACATGGAGGCCATGGGCTATGAGGGAAAACTTGCAAGCGACCTCAAGACATTTCAAGACAAACTTGCCCTCTACAACTCGGAGCATGATACTGACGATCCGATGGCTAATCTCTTCAGTCTTCCTGAAGAGCCAGCCTGGCGCGGCCTGCAGTTCATTGATGATTGACTTGAGGAGATTACCAGAGATGGGATTGAACGGCCAGTCCTCCTCCTTGTGGCAATCGGTTTTGTCATTCAGATTCGCAGTTTCCTTTACTTTCTTTGTTGGCTCTATTTATTTTGTCATGTTTTCACTTTCTTGGCTTGGTTGATAGCATCTGCGGATGCTGTTCTCTTTTGACAATTTTCACTTTCAGATACCGGTCTTGTTATTTTCCTGTTACGTTACTCCTCTTGTCGATTTTTTCTTTCTTTGCTACGGTTTAATTTTCTGTCTTCTCCTGGGCCCTCCCGTGCTATTGTTTCAAGGGATTCTCAACATCAGTTGCATCAGCAGTCTAGCTATTTATTTCTTTTCTCAAAAAAAAACTGTCATCATTTAGTTTGCATCCTTGTCTCTTTCTTGACTTCTAACTCCATGGGCAGACGGAATCTGTTTCGTGCGGGGGGGGAGCTATTTCGCCTGTCATTTTTCATTTCCCCTATTCTCAACAAACATGTCGGTACTGATGTCCACTTGGATCGTTTATTGGATAGTTTCTCATGTTCATAATCATCATGGGTCAGACTTGCTTGGGATTTGAAATTCGTGGCAGATATGGATTTTTTTTACATTTGTAATGATAGGTTTTTTTTACCCTATAGGGGGGAATTACATAACATTTGTGAAGCGAAAAACAACAATGCACTCGTGAAATGTGTGATGTTTTCAGCGTGGTGAAGTAGAATAAACACGAACTTGATGTCTAAAATGCGATGTCACCAAGGCGATTTAATGTTTAAGATAAACGCCTAGTTCCAGTCTGTCAAATAAGGAAATTGATCAACACCCGATACTACCCTACTGATTTCAGACACCGCCATCCGTCTTCCTCCTAACCGTGCCAAGGTTCCTGCCGATTATGTAACTGCGCGCATTTACAAATCTTGCAGCACCTCTACGAGGTGCCCGACAGCCCAACGTCAGATTCAGCCCAACGTCATATTTTGTACTCGTGCTTCTCAGCCAAGAATTGCCTTCCCCATTTGTTGCAGCAAGGTTTGAGAGTTCTTTTCCACCAAAAAGGTAAAGTGTATAAGTAGTGCATGACTAGTGGGGGCTCTAACTACTTATTATAGTGGATTCCAGGAATATGTACACTAGTTGTATAAAATAATTTAGGCGTTGAACTTATTGTCTCCTCTCCAAGCCCGGACTTGCAAGTGATTGAGGTGAAAGTTTATACAAAAGCAGTCAACCATCTGCTGTGGCATGTGAGCCCACTGCAATTTTAGAGTATTTACAACCTCTTGCCTTGTCTGCAGTGTTCCCAAGCGTCCAGTCCGTCCGTCTTTTGCCTTGGACGGGACGGACGCCGGTTTCTGGGACTCTGCCCTGGACGGACGCCCGTCCTGTAGTCCGTCCTAACCTTCGCCCGGGACGGACGGCCGGGCCCTATAGGTGTCTCACATGCATGATCTATTTTGGGTACAGTAAGTCTGTAGTCATAACGAAACCAAACATTTATATTCTGATACTAATAACATAGTAACTCCCTCTTGGTACATGTAGCAAATCCCCCTATCCACACGTACTAAAACTAACCAATCTGTGCACTCGCATCGGAACCTGGTTCAGAGCAACCGGAACCTATGCTCCTCCCCAGAGCCAACTTTACTGCTCTCTCCTCTAAATCCTTCAGCATTATCTCTACATCCGTAACCCGCTTCTCTGAAATTAAGCCAGCCTTACGCCATGATTTCATACACTCAATTGCCTCTATAACCTCATCCCCTAACCGACTGCGACGATCAGTAAGAAGGTTTTTACCACTAAATGAAATCGAGCACCCTAGTAAGTTATTCCATTTCGTATTCTGAATGGTAGGATCTTGGGATATGTTACCTGCTAAATGCACGTTCCACCTCCGCTGACATGGCAGGAATACTATGTATCTCCATTGCCATATGAGCAAGTTGAGCCCACCGGGGATTGCTTAACCGTGCTGCCCAATAAGCTAGAATATCAGGAACCTCTTCCTCCTCTTCAGCGGCTTGAAAGCGGTCAAATTGATCACTGTCGCCTTGTGTAAGGCGAGCTCGCTTTTTCTGTTTCCAGCGAGATAAGGTATCGTCAGGCAACACACTTGACTCAGATGCTAATAGGAGTATTGGAGGATTCGGAGCTGGAGTGGTATCCACATAGGGCAATGCGCGATATTCTGATGTCCAAAGTTCCTTGCTCTTCATCATTGCTAATACTATCCATTCAGGATGATCCTTCCACTCAATTTCGAAATATTTAAGCTTGGTATCGGGGTCAAGAGCAACTGCTGCATAGAGTACAGGTAATCTGTCTGCCAATGCGTAGTATCTTGAGAGCTAATCAGTCTTGTAAAATATACGTGAAGGGATATTGGATATGATAGGAGTAAATAAATAAAGGAGGAATTTCTATAGAGAGGAATAGATTTCTACACACTTGTCGAGAATTGCCCAAGCATGATTAATTGAAGTCAGAAGGTGCATACTATGTACGGCAGAGTCTGAATAGGTCTGTTTTGCATCTTCTAAATGGGCAAGAAGATCATCCATCGCCAGAAGAACCCGAGCAAGATATCCATTGGAGTGATTTCTTAGAGTTCCGGTTCCTTGAAGTTGTAGTGTAAGACGTCGAAAAGGTTTTAGGATTTGAAGTATCGTTGCCAGATCATCCCAATCATCTCTTGTTAGCTCATCAGAAGTGATCATATCTGGGTTGTCTGGGTCATCGTCTAGAGGATCATTATCAGCATTTGATGATTGCGTAGTTCGACGAGTTTTATTTTGTCTTTCATCAGTAACGGCCGTTCCGACAAAGCCATCTAAAATATCACGCAATTCAAAAGCACGTTCTAGTGCATCAGCATCACTAGACCATCGTGTAACATTTCCTACTAATGGGAATAATGGTCCTGTATACCCCCGTCCGCGAGCGAGTCGAACCTTTTGTGAAAATCGATCCCGTCGTTGTGGCGTACGTAGAATCCAGATGCCAATGTTGTGCAACTTTCCCATTGGGCCTTTCTTCCTCCATGACTTCAAAAGTTGTGACTCCTTTTCTATATCCGTGTTGTATGCAATATTGGTCTCAAAAGCTTCCCAATCTGATCCCCAGAGAAATCCCTTAACTACCAGGTTAATAATATGACCGAAGCATCTTACTCGCGATGTTTCCCGATTGAAGGGAATATTTCTTTCAGCAAGCATATCCCCTAGCTCAGCAAGTGCTGCATCGTTATTGGTAGCATTATCCGTTGTAATATACCCAACTCTGGCAGCTATATCGTATTTATCAAGAACCAGAAGAAGTGTTTCAGCAATATTGTGACCACTATGTGGACCATAAAAGCACTGAAAACCAAGAGTAGCCGACCGCAGTGCTCCTCCTTCTCTTACCCAATGCCCAACAATACCAAGATATGACCGGTGATTAGGTGAGCTCCATAAGTCAAAGCTCAGATGGATACGAAATGGTAGAGATTTAAAATAACCCTTTACTGCAGTACTAGACTCACGATAGAGTAGTACGATCCAATTCGTCATCGTGGTACTTGATTTTGGCAATGAATTTCGCAGACCATCTGGTCGTGAAACCTAAGTAGATAAAACTATTAGTAAGTGTATCGATCAACAACTTCGAAAATTCTGCAACTAACGATTCTGAGGAGATTACATACACAACTAAGTAAATATGCTAATAGGGTACGAAATGTTGGATCCTCGATAACATAAAATGCCGTATTTGTGACATATATTCATCGCATAAGCATTTGTTTAAATATATCAGAATTAAACTGAAGGCCTGGTGATATCGTCCGTCCAAAAGCAGCAACAATTCTTGACTCACTAGCAGCGCTACTGATCTCCTGACCACCTTCCGGGTATTCCTTGGTTATACCATGTGAAATCGCGAGATGTTGGTTCATGTTTTTTGTTGATGAGTCGGTATATAGAGGAGCACGGTGTCGGGGGCCTAGTGAATCTATTAGAGTGGGACTTGAATACAAGCCTGTTGACTATATGGAAGTAGAATAAACAGTAATATGTGGGATGATATGTGGGGAACTTACAACGAGCACACCGCCAGCGCCACTTTCCTTTTTCAAAAACCTCTGTTCCGTTACTTGGAAACCAGCAGTGTCCTTTTCTCGCTTTCCGCTTTGGAAGAAATGAAGCAGGAACATCAAGATGTATTCCGGAAATATCACTTGTAACCGTAGCGGAATGACCCCCTGTCAAGTCACTCGCATTTGAATTAGAATCAAGGGTAGCGGTTAGAAGCCCGGACGGAGCAGAACTGAGTGTATCGCTATGGGCAGAGTCATCATTCTCCAAATCAATATCAAGCTGAAAGTTGTCGCAGAAATATGGAGGTAACACTTGTGATATAGAATCATCAGGACCAAGGGATCCTTGACTACCATGCGAGGAATGTGATAATGCTTCAGACATATTTGTTAAAATAAAGTTTTGCCAAAGTAATAGAGAGTTGAGCGTTTGGAATAGGATGTTTATCGTGCATAGGATTGCTTTCTGTTCTCTTGAAAAATCCAAGCCTATTTATTTCCCTGTCTGAGACCATATGAAAATATTATATTAAATGCGTCCCTGCTACGAGATAACCAGTTACACTGTGGGACGACCATCCATTATTCTGTAATTTATGAAATACCTATAGGGCCCTACAGATGACGCCCGAAGCCTGCAGATGACGGCCGGGCCCTGCGAATGACGGCCGGGCCCTGCAGATGACGGCCGGGCCCTGCAGATGACGGCCGGGCCCTGCGAATGACGGCCGGGCCCTGCGAATGACGGCCGGGCCCTGCGAATGACGGCCGGGCCCTGCGAATGACGGCCGGGCCCTGCGAATGACGGCCGGGCCCTGCGAATGACGGCCGGAAGATGCCATTTGCCATAAGACTGCAGGGCCCGGGCGTCAACCCGCAGGACGGCCGTCTTTACGAAAGACGGACGCCATGCCCTGCCGTCCTTACCCACCCCGCCCGGGACGCCCGGGACTACGAGCCCGCCAGGGCCCTGTAGGGCGCCCGGGACGGTTGGGAACACTGCTTGTCTGTTCACTTGTTCCAGTAAAATTATACTCCATCATCGTATCTTTGAGATAGTTCAAGCATGGCTCGATCTCATTCAAGTCTGGGGAGTTTGCAGGCCATTTAGGAATCCTATTTATTCCTCAAACAGTAGCCTCCTCCTTATCCATCCTTGCTGCTGTGGTATGATTACAAGCATTATCCTCTACTAGCCAGCAATGTCTTCCAGTCTCATCTTGAATAGTCTCAACAAAAGGATAAACAAAATCATGAAAGATTTCCTTCAGGTATAAAAATCGATCCAATCCCCCACAAGCACTATAGCCACATATCTCCTCAGTAAACTCCCAGTATGGACGTCAGGGTATATGGCTGGGCTTGTTAGGTCCCCAGTTTGCATTGTAGTTAGCAATCATGCGGTTAAGTGCTTGTAAATACTTGTATTCGGCAGTGCCAGGAATCGTAACATTCTATCACTCTTAATGCATCTGCTGTATTTTAGCTGTATTTTCCATTCCTAGCAGCTCATTTTTGGCTCTCCGTTCTTCTGGTTTTTCCTTTATCCATACCCACAATGGACCTTTAAGTCCCAAAGCAATGCTACCAGAAACCATAATACTCAGACCAGACTTGTGTTTATCTGGAGTTGCCGATACATACAGATCTTCACCTTTTTCTCTTGTGATATTCCGGAGTCTCCTGGGTACCCCAACCTCAAAGATCATCTCATCACTAAATACAAAAGACGCTCTAGGCTGTGCAAGCTACCAATTCATTAACTCCAATCAATCTAGCTTCTCCTGTAGACTGAGAGGTGGCTTTGGCTGGCGCTTATAGTGAAACAAATTATGATGCTTGTTCATTATGCAGTATGTAGTAGTGGACGAAATATCTATCCCTGACTCTGGTGCAATTTCAGGAAAGGTCATCAGCTGTTGTTTGACATCCTGCAAAGCAAGTTCTCTCATTTGATTTGATTCAGGTGAACCTTGAGAGAACCTTTCAGGAGTGGATGGCTGTTCCTGAATCTTATCACCCAATTACACAGTAGCAAGCATACCCTGAATTCGACGGACAGGTAAGGAGCATTCCTATTCACCAATTTAGTTATTCATAAAGTGATTGAAAGGTCTCATCATAACTCATATCTTGTACCTACCGCAATCTTCTTATTGACTTGTCAAGCTGTTTCTTTCTTAACCTCAAGGCATATAGACAGCTGGTCAAAGGTCATCTGAGCACACAGATGAAGGGCAACAATAGCTGCTTTAGTCGACTTCAAAAGGCTCTTGCCAGAAGGTATTGCAAACTGAGTTTGGTGATAGTTGACTTTCTTGCAACATGTTGATGCAATCTTGATCTTCCAGATACTACCTTATGTGCTAGTCATGCACACCTTACATACTATGCCTTTTGGGTGGAAAGAAACCCTCAAACCTAGCTACGACAAATGGGGAACGCAATTCTTGGCTGAGAAGCATAAGTAAACTGGGAACCTTTAAAATACATTTTGTCAATGATAGTTGACCGTCACCACTTCGGATCTTTTTTGCTGCTTTATGTATTGCTTTAACTCTTGTAGAATAGGTTTCTATTTTTTCTTTTTTTTTTTTTTGTGGTCCCGGATTGCCTCCTTTTTCAACCTTTCCAACTGTCGTTCAGCCTGCTCGACCTTCTTCTTTGTGTCTACCTCAATCTTTTTATGAACAATTGCTCTCCCCTGGTGAGCAAAAATAATCTTCCCTTTCTGGATTGACCACCAGCTTCAGTTTTGGCATACAGCGTAGGCTCACTGGGTAGCACATGCCTCAGGCCAAGTCAGAATGTTCGGACACTGTGGTTTCGAATGCATAGAGCAATTATTTTGATATTAGCAAGAAGACAGTTCTCCTGTATACTATTGAATTAACTAGAATATGAGAAATATATCTCAGGACGTCTTCATCCTCAAGTACTGTGTTCTTTTTTTTGCTAGCATTTTCGCACACTCCCCCTTTAACAGCACTGTCCGGTGTTCTGAGCCATAACTATGCCAAGGTTCCTACCAATTATGTAACAGTGAGAAGTTCCAAAATCTTGCAGAACGTCTAGTCTATGAGGTGTCCTAATCATACCAAGGTTGCAGCATGTGGCCGCAACCCCCGCATGTTCACTGGCTCACAACCGGGGGCACTCTACAGAGTGCCTGACAGCTCAACATGACTTTGTGGCTTAAGATCAGTTTGTCCAAAACATGACTTCATGGCAAAATAAGGCACTAGAGCATAACATAACACTTTATTATCATAGAATATTTTATTTACATAATGTTTCGCAATCTAGCCTATTGCCTAGTTCCTGAAATAATGAGCCTGGATGTTTTCCTTTTTTGAATCTGTTGAGCCCGCCTCTCCTTTGCTATAGCCTTTCCCTTTGCCTTAATCTCATCAAGGAAATGTTTGCGCTCTTCCTTATCCAATTTTTTTTGAGCATTCTGAGCCCTATGTAGATCTCTCTCTGCTTTTTCTACCGCCATATCCTCCTTTCTTTTGGCCATTTGACCTGCATCAGAGGCATAAATAACTCCTTCTTTTTGGATCTGCCTTCTGCTTTGTCCTCTTCATCTGGCATTTCTTGCCTCCTCTGCTGCTTGAGTATGCTCCATGTACTCCATCGCTAATGCACCTGACTGTGCAAGAGCTAATCCACCTTGTAGTACAAGCTTAAGCTTATGTTCAAAGCTTGGAGATGGACCTTTACTCTCTTGGAGTAATTCATCACTCATTGTTTTGAGACTTGTGATTGTAAGAGGAATACCAGAGGCAGATTCTGATTGTGGGAGGGATTGTTGATAGGAAGGAATGGTTGCATCTTGGAGTTTTGATATGACAAGATCGGGATTGTATGGGATAAGCCCAGTCACACGAAATGCTGATTGAATTGTTGAGGACTTAAAGGTTTGCTGACAAATGGTATCAATTGTGTCCAAAAATTTGGATTTGTCAAAGTTACCATACACAGTTCATGTAGTAGCCTCAACAGCCTCAGCATGATAATGCTTATAAGGTTGAAAGACAACCACATCTAGGGGTTGAAGAAGATGACTGGAGTGGGCTAGGAGGCAAAATACAATAATCCTGTGGGAATCGCAAAAGTCAAGGAACTGCTTTGCACAGTGAGAGCCAAAGCCATCAAGAAGTAAAAGACGATAATCTCCAGTAAGATGAGGAGCAGAGAAGTGTTCAAAGTAGACAAGCCACTTCATTGTGAGCTCATCATTGTTGTACCTAGTTTCGGAGGTCCCTACAAGGTAATTATCTGGAACTCATGTTGTGGAATACCAAGATTCCTGATGGATAATGCCAGGAACAATTACCATCAGTGGTAAAGCGACTCCATTACCACTGATTGTCTCACAAACGCTTTGCTACTCACGATTTGTAGAGCTACCAAGATATGTCTGCCTTGTAGGGTCCCTCGTAATAATCCATTGGTCATGCCCAATCCCAATACGGAATCCTGTTTTATCAAAGTTGTATTTATTGCAATCCTGGATTTGGTACTGATGGTATACAGCCAAATACTTCTCAAACCGTGACCAGGCTCTGATACTATTAGGTTGGTGGGTATTTTTTCGATCAAGATCGATTGAAACTTGTTTGCGAATGAAATATTTAAGATGGCAGTTGAGGAATCGTGGAGCCCAATGGTCGCTTACAACAGGGGCTACATCATTGCCAGAATATGCATATGGAAGTATACCATTTGCACAGCCTGAGACCATTTGCAGATGAGCACTGGTACCAACAGTATCAAGATGGTCAAGATACTGGCAAACTGCCAGTTCCTGATCATCAGTGAGCTTATGGTTGGCTCCAGGCCTCTGCTGGCGAGACTGGTAGCCTTGTAGTCATGCTCGAATTCGGGAGACTAGTACCTTGTAGTTGCGGGCAATCTCTGTAATGTTTGGATACTCAGTCGAATTGGTACTTAATGATGCAATTGCAGCCTGAATCTGTACCTCGACATCTGCATAATGCTCAATGCGCTCACTTGGAAGGATAAAAGATGGCACTTTTGGCATGTTTTTCGATGTTGGTGGTTGGGGTTGGTGGTGTGTTGACAGAGGTGCCTGTTTTACGATGTTTTGGTTGTCGCTTATGATTTTTCATTCTTGGTTATCAAGACATCAGTTGATGATTTATATGAATATACTTAATCTAAATTAACTGAAATAATAAACATATTAAAAACTCAGATTATATTCTCCATAGTTAAAACTAGCAACAAAGTCATGTTGAGCCACAAAGTCATGTTGAGCTGTCAGGCACTCTCTAGAGTGCCCCTGGTTGTGAGCCAGTGAACATGTGGGGGTTGCGGCCGCACGCCACAACCTCGGCACGATTACAGCTCAACGTTA